CTCCACTGCTAAAAGGACATACTATCACAACAAAATTAACAATTTGTCTAACTCTTGCATGCTTTTTAAAACATTTTCCTTCCTTTGTCCTCCTCATCCCCCTCCTTCATCAACAGCGGACGACTTTGCCACATTCGTCATAAATAAAATTACAAACCTAAGTGCACAATTTGCCCTACCACAAACTGTCAAACACATCTTACCAGCAAACATACACTCATTTTCATCCTTCTCTCTACTCTCTGAGACAGAGGTCTCTAAACTCATCCTTTCCAATCATCCTACTACTTGTCCGCTTGATCCTATTCCATCTCGTCTCCTTCAAGCCATTTCTCCTGCCGTTGTACCTGCACTCACTCACATCGTTAACACATCACTTCACACTGGTGTTTTTCCCTCAACATTTAACAGACTCGTGTAACCCCACTTCTTAAGAAACCCACTCTTAACCCACTCTTAACCCAACTCTTTTAGAGAACTACAGACCGGTTTCCCTTCTACCTTTCATTACAAAAACACTTGAACGAGTTGTGACAATCACCTTCAACTCAACCTGGCTAAATAATGTGGAGAAGACGAAGGAGATTGTTGTTGACTTCAGGAGAGTGCGCATTATATCTGCACTGTTGTTTACTTTTATTGGTTTGCACTCTATCTGCCATATGCCTTGTGCTTTATATATATATATTTTTTTTTTACATTTTACCTTATTTGTATATTTGTATAGTTGTATTTTGTATTTTGTATTTAATCTGTACCTATCTGTATTTATGTTATCTGTATGCACCAAGGGTCTGAGAGTAACGCAATTTCAATTCTCTGTGTGTATGTGCTGTACATGTGGAAGAATTGACAATAAAGCAGACTTGACTAAGACAGAACAGTTTGTGGTTTCAACAAACCCATCACTTTATCAAAATTTCACTATCCAGTTAGGCTTATCAACATAACTCCTTCAAAAACAGCTAGAAACATTGGAGTTGTGATTGATGATAAGCTGAATTTCTCAGACCACATTGCTAAAACTGTCCGGTCCTGCAGATTTGCTTTATACAACATTAGGAAGATCAGGCCCTTTCTTTCAGAACATGCAACACAACTCCTTGTTCAAGCTCTTGTTCTATCCAGGCTGGACTATTGCAATGCTCTCTTGGCAGGTCTTGCAGTCACTTCTATCAAACCTCTACAATTAATCCAAAACTCCTCTGCAAGATTAATCTTTAATGAGCCGAAAAGAACGCACGCCACACCTCTGTTCATCAATACAAAAATAAAGGCATTAATGTTTGCCTACAAAACTACCACTGGCTCTGCGCCCCTTTACCTAAATGCATCAGAGTTATGTGCCCTCTAAAAGCTTGCGTTCTGCAAGTGAACAACACATTATTGTACCATCTCAAAGAGGCACAAAATCACTTTCACTGATTTTTTCATTAACTGTTTCCTCCTGCTCAACTCAATCCGAGCAACTGAGTCCTTAGCCATCTTCAAGAAACGACTAAAAACACATCTGTTCCACCTTTATTTGACCCTGTAACTCTAGCATTTTCTATTCTATTTTAATTCTACTTTATATATTTATCTTTTTTATATAAAAAAACTAACTCTAGCTTTCTATTTTTTTTCTATTCTATCTAATTGTTTTTATTTGTGTGTGTGTGTGTATATACTGTGTGTACATATATATATATATATGTACACACAGTATATACACACACACTTAATCAGGCACTGTGTTCTGTGTAAAAGCAGCTGGACATTCTAAATGTTTAATGTAAAAAAACAAAAACAAGAAACACTTAAAGTGCCTTAATGTACTAATGTACTAAAACAGTGATATTATAAGATCAAATTCAGTATACACCTTATTGATAATACGTAATTTATATAGGCAATAAGATAAGCCCGGAATATGAACACAATGCGCTAAATGGTTAAGTGTTTTCTTTATAATGGATTTCTATGGGGAAATTTTAATGTGAAACTTTGCACATTGCATTTATATTCAGGGTTCATCTGCCAGCCTGTATAACGTATGCATCATCAATAAGATGTATACTGAATTTGGCCTTTTAAAATTAGTTTCTTACTCTATTAATATTTAATACAAACCTAGTAAATATAAGTGGCAGTCAGTGGTGTAAAGCTGTGTTTTGACCTCCAGGTGGGCATTCCTATAGGTGTGTGAAGCCACATGAAAATTATGAATGTTCTTGGTCAAGTCTTGTCCTTCTATGGCCTCTATGTGTGTTGTTTTCGGAGTTCATTTTATTTAGATATTTTTAAAATAAATATCTGGATTTGGATCCATCTCTCCCTCATCTCTGAATTACACTCGTTACACTTGGGTAATCCTAAATGCCGGGTATACGTAGAACCCTAGAGAACCGGGTAAATAGAACCCTCAGCCCCTGTCTTGACAGGATGTCCGCCCCAAAATTGTAACCCATGGAACTGCTCAAGAGGAGTGCCCAAGCATCTCCCATCAAGTCTTCAGTAGTGGGCACCAATGCAACCTGCTTTGGGAAATGATGACGCTACTGCCATGTTGTCAGCCCACAGACCAACATGTGGTAGCCACTCAGGGAGAGTGATACTTTATATCTAGAATTACCTCATCTCCAGACAATTTATGTGCCAAGTGAGATGACAATCTTCCCTGAGTCCATAGACTGGGGACCTTCAAATCCATACCCCAACCTTTAAGAGGGGCGTCCATCACAATTATTTTCCCAATGGCAACACACACACCAAGTGTTGCCTAAAAAGTTTAGAAAGTAAGGTAGTGTCCATGGAAGAACGGTACAAATAACACTGATGCATAACCTTAGTGACTCGCAGGGGGTGGTGTCTCTAGGCTGAAACCCCCTGCATAAGAGCCACCTTTTTAATGGCCTTGTATGGAGCAGGCCTAATGAACTAATAGGGAACACCTCTATGTTAAAGAGTTAACATTTGTAGCATTTGGACCAATCAGACACACAACTTTTTGTTATATTTAACAAATAATATCGAACTCCCCATCACCTAACCAAATGGCCAATTACGAGGGTCTATGGACCCTTCCCCCGAAATGCACCTAACACCTCAGAAAAGCAGAACAGGCCTCTGGTTCCATGGTAACCAATGCTGATATCACTGGTTTTATGGCCTAAAAGGAATGCAGGGGATAAACTCCCTCATTTTCCTCATAAGAAAGGCACAAATGCACAGGAGAAACTGACTTTTCTACTAATTAATTCATAGGAAAACCTTCTTTGAATGAACGCCTAATGAACTAATAGGGAACACCTCTATGTTAAAGAGTTAACATTTTTCAGATTGAGCTAATATTTTTCAAATGTCGAGGCATTCTTTAGATTTATCATGTCAAAGCAGTCTCCTGATTGGATTTGAGACACAATGTCTTTGAACGTTAATATTTTCAACCTGTATGTCCTCAGAGTATGGTTCAGATAACGTAGATCTACGATTGGACAGATCTTTGGTCCGAAGAAGCTTTTTTATTATTTTGGGAGTGAATCCACACCCTTGTTTATCTATATCTTATCTATCTATACCTTATCTTACCTATGTTGATACGCTTGTAGAATCATTGTGGGGTGTGCACTGAGGTGTCAGCCTTGGCTTAGCGGAGCTAAGATGTGTGTTTGTGTCAGTTCAGTTTATTCATCCCTTAAGAAATTTGGTGTGCAAAGACGTCACACATCCCATTAACACAGTCTCACATAAATACATTAAAATGCATTAAAAAACAAACAAACAAAACAACAAATGAAAAATGATAAAGGGAGGGGTGGATGGGAGTTCTAATAACCATCAATTCAAGTATCAGCATATTAGCCATGTTTACATATGATTTAACTTAGAAATAGCAGTTGGTATGAATGAGTTCTTAAAACTCATTATACATTTATACATTAAAATAATTCAAACGTTGTTGTCTGTGATCGTATTCTCCATCAAGAATGTTTTAGTGTCTGCCATACGTTTCGGGTTGTTCCAAATTGATCAAAATGTGAATAAATAACTAACAAAATGTAAATAACTATTTTTATTGCTTTTTTACTGCAATACTCAAATGCATGACTGATATCTTTAGGACATGATGAGAAAAAAAACATGGACAAGTAAATATAATTGATCCTTTAGTTACAATATAAAACCAGTTGACAGCACAGCATCTTTAAATACGACAGTAGACACTCTCACAATAAAGCAAGTCACTATGCATGCATAAATTGTCTATTATTCCATGTATTTTCTTGTATTTGCCCCACCCCCCAGTTTAAGGACTCACCCCGCTAGAAATTTTACGTTCCCAGAACATCCTCAGATCGTCCCCGCTGGTGTCAAGGACGTTACCTAGTTACGTCCCCAGAACGTTCTGAGATGGTCATAATGTGGATTTCTTTAAAGGGTTGGGGGACGTTATTTGGAGGACCTTCACAGAACATTTAGGACGTTCTGGGAATGTTAAGGGAACCATAACTATAGGACATTCCCTCCTCCTATTTAGGTTCTTCCATCACATTTACGGAATGTTTTCAGAACCTTTAGTAACACATTACGGACACTATAGGGGACCAAACTAGAATGTTACACTGCAGCACTTTCAAACTGGTTCTTGGTCTGCAGAACCTTAATCAGGCACTGTGTTCAAGCTTAACACATTCAAACATAAAATACAAAGTAAGAAAACATCATTCATTATTTTGTGAACAAAAACAGATTATAAACGAATATTAAATGTGGTCATGCATAGGAAGGGTGGGGGAGATAGAGAGATGGGGCGAGTTCAAATTGGCTTAACTGCCATGACAATTTCCACACTAAAGCATCAAAATGTGTCCAAATAATGGAAATGGAAACAGTAACAAGAACATAACGATTTATATTAATGATATATTCAGTGTGTGTGTTTGTGTGTGCGTGTGTGTCAGTCACTGTCTCCATCTTCAGGAGGTGCCTCAAATTGTTCTTCCGCTGCCTGAAAAAAAAGCAAATAACAATATTTAGCAATCACTTCAATTACTTTTTAATTGCTTTTAATAGAGGATTAAACCTGCAAAAACAAAACAAAACAAAAAACATAAATAGTATATATATATATGTGTGTGTGTGTGTGTGTGTGTGTGCCTGCTGTTCTTCAGAAAAATCCTGCAGCTCCTACACAATCTTTGGTTTTCCAGCATCTTCTGCTTATGTGAACTTTTTCCAACAGTGACTGTATGATTTTGAGATCCATCTTTTCACACTGAGGACAATTGAGGGACTCATACACTATTACAACTATACAAGAACATAACGATTTATATTAATGATATATTCAGTGTGTGTGTTTGTGTGTGCGTGTGTGTCAGTCACTGTCTCCATCTTCAGGAGGTGCCTCAAATTGTTCTTCCGCTGCCTGAAAAAAAAGCAAATAACAATATTTAGCAATCACTTCAATTACATTTTAATTGCTTTTAATAGAGGATTAAACCTGCAAAAACAAAACAAAACAAAAAACATAAATAGTATATATATATATGTGTGTGTGTGTGTGTGTGTGTGTGTGTGTGCCTGCTGTTCTTCAGAAAAATCCTGCAGCTCCTGCTGGTTTTCCAGCATCTTCTGCTTATGTGAACTTTTTCCAACAGTGACTGTATGATTTTGAGATCCATCTTTTCACACTGAGGACAATTGAGGGACTCATACACTATTACAACTATTACAAAAAGGTGAAAACATTTTCTGAAGCTTAAGAAGGAAACACAAAGCATTAAGAGCCAGGTGGTGGAAACTTTTTGAAATGGATGATTAGGGTAAATTGTACTTATTTTGACTTTTGGGAAACATGTAATTATTTATGTAGCTACTGAAGTGCAGTTCTAACTGAAAAAAAATATGATATTTAAACAAAATTTACACATCATAATCCGGTTCAAAAGTGTACACTCTCTGGCTCTTACCTTGCCTGCTCCTTGAGCATTAGTAAATATTTTCACCTTTTGTAATATTTTTGTATGAGTCCTTCAGTTGTCCTCAGTGTGAAAATATGGATCTGAAAATCATACTGTCACTGTTGGAAAGAGTTCAAATATGCAGAAAATGCTGGAAAACCTGGTATTTATCTCAAGATTTATTTATTTATTTTTACTTTTCCGTGTGCAACATTGCATTTTTTAATACACGATATACACAATTTGATTATTACTATACTTCATGCTTGGGTTAAACACAATTGTTTAGAAAAGTTTCCTGCTATAAAATATGTTTGTATATCCTAATAACAAAAATATTTTTATAAATATATTTACAACTATAAACTTCAAAGTCAAAAGTTTTTGAACAGTAAGATTATTAATATATTTTTAAAAAGTCTCTTCTTCTCACCAAGCCTGCATTTATTTGATCCAAAGTACAGCAAAAGCAGTAATATTGTGAAATAGTTTTACTATTCAAAATAACTACTTTCTATTTGAAAACATTTAAAATGTAATTTATTTCTGTGATCAAAGCTGAATTCTCAGCATCATTACTCCAGTCTTCAGTGTCACATAAACCTTCAGAAATCATTCTAATATGCTGATTTGCTGCTCATGAAACATTTATTATTATTATTATTATTATTATCAATATTTAACACAGTTTAGTAAATTTTTTCAGGATCCTTTGATTAATAGAAATATCCAAAGATCAGCATTTATCACTATACCATTCAAAAGCTTGGAGTCAGTATAATGTTTATAATTTTTATTTTTTTTTGGAAAGAAATTATAGAAATATTAGAAGATGCTTCAAATTGATCAAAATTGATGATAAAGACATTTATAATGTTACAAAAGATATATATTTCAGATAAATGCTGTTCTTCTGAACTTTCTATTAAAGAACATCCTCCTAATGTCATATTCGGAATGTTATTATATGACTAAAAGAGGACCATGTGAGAACATTCTGTTAACGTCCCAAATGTCCTCTTAGTAACGTTCTCATGTGACCAAAAAATAACCAAAATGGAACGTCCTCCTAAAGTCATATCTGGAACGTTATTATATGACTAAAAGAGGACCATATGGGAACGTTCTGTTAATGTCCCAAATGTCCTCTTTGTAACGTTCTTATGTGACGTATAACCTAAAGTCCTAAAGTCATATAAGGAACATTAAGCTCCAGCACTTTCATAACCAAAAGAGGACATTTTAGGAACGTCCCTAATGTTCTGTAAAGGTTCGGGACTTTCGTCACCTTTAGAGAATTTTTAGGGAACGTTGTGCAAGGTTGCGAGAACGTCCCCTCCTATACTGTCTTTGAAAAACATGCCAGTAATACCCTAGAAGCAAAGAAAACACTAAAGCAAAGTTGATATTTCTTAATCTATATAAAAAAATATATTTTAAAAATCATAAGGGGATGGGAAGATGACGTCCTGCTTTCCAGGTATTCCCACTTGGCAACGCCTGCACTATTAAAGCAACACCCCATACAAGCTAAGAGGGTGAGTGGCTCAGAAAGAGGGCATGATGTGGTTCATTCTGTATATTTCTCTATACTTGCTCACTGACTGTATCTCTGCAGATTCAGTCCTCAGATCAGACACATGTCAGCTCCAGAGACGCTTCAGGCTGAATGGGGTGTATCAGGATGGAGATGTTATACTTGGAGGCCTGTTTGAAGTTCACTTTTTCACAGTATTCCCAGAGCTGAGCTTCAGAACAGAACCAGAGGAACCATATTGTGAAATGTGAGTCAAACTGACAGCATGACTATGAAAAAAAACAGAGAAAGATTAAATAATAATATAATTAATATTTAATAAATATAAATGTTATGATTTTCTTGCCCTTTTTGCCTCAGTTAATTTGCTCAAATGATGTGATAACAGCAGCAATACTATCTTGACAAAACATCTGTATTGAACCCACTGTGTATTTAATTAAATGTGCACCAGAATGTACCTCTTGTGAACTCTGATATTTTGCTATGTATTAATGATATTTCAATTCATCCTGTAGCTTTTAATCTATTTTTAATATATTTATTTATTTACTTTGTTCATTCCTTAGATTTAATATGGAAAGCTTCCAGCATGCACAGACCATGGCTTTTGCAATAAATGAGATCAATAAGAATCCCAATCTGCTGCCCAATATCACTCTTGGTTACCATCTTTATGACAACTGTGTGATGCTAGGAATGGCATTCCGAGCTGCCATATCCCTAGTTAGTGGGACAGAAAAGTCATCCTCTAACCTTAATTGTACTGGCCCTCCTCCGGTGATTGGGATTGTGGGGGATCCAAGTTCAACTCCATCCATTGCGATTTCCAGTGTTCTGGGGCTGTTTCGAGTACCTATAGTAAGATGGGATACAAAAAGTAAAAATACACTATATGCATATTTTTGCTTATATCTGTTTGCCTATGAAAACATTACAAAAGCACTGGTAAATTATTTATTTATTTTTGATCATCATGCTATTTCTCTGTCTAATGCCCTCTTCCTCTGCTCTAATTAGGTCAGTCACTACGCCACCTGCTCCTGTTTGAGTGACAGGAAAAAGTACCCCTCTTTCTTCAGAACAATCCCTAGTGATGCCTTCCAGGTGCA